GTGTATTGCTGAAAAAACCGTGAATTGTGGTCATCGGAATACTACCTCAAAGGCAGCAGGCGTTTCATCTACTACTGTATTCTACTGTAGGAACATTTACTGCCTGCACTATATGTACAGTATTGTACTGTAGCAATAACTTCAGCCGATAACAATCAATGTACAGTACAGTATTTAGTTGATATGCATGTTTCAATGTTTGATCCGACAATAAGATATTATGAGAAAATACCTTTAGATCACGCCGTGCAACTACCAAATTTACCACTTGCTTGAAAAGTCGTCAGAGGTGAGAGAGGAAGTTAAAATAATGTGCAATCTAAAATTTCAATTTTCTTATTGGACAGTACCTGCGTAGCATGTATGATGAAAATGTGAAATGACGTAAACTTGTAGAGCACATATTTTACTTGTGTAACAAAAACATTGACTACTGCTGATGATTTGTGATTATTAACCCCCATTTTAGGTGGATCATGCTCAAACTACAGCTAGTAGTTCAGGACTCAGTAGAGTCCTGTCCTAATTTACTCTTTATGTACAGGTAAATGACTCTCTATTATTTTTCTTACAATTTTCTCTGCATAACTTTTTTCTGTCCCAGCATAGGAATGTCTGCCAATCTAATAGGGATTCTGAATGACCACATTATTTTTACAAAAGAATTTTCCTGATGTGTGATATACTGTATACCGTACTGTTAAATTAGCGACATCTCTTTTAAATTGTACGACACAAGATGTGGCGATTTGTCGGCAGGTTCTGGCAATTCTGAACCACGTCCGACTAGCTGAAGGTTGTTATCCGATTGTTGGAAGGTCGTTTCTGAGGAGTTTCCGCAGTGGCTTGGAGGAATGAATTCTCGTGGGGAAATTCTGTGTATCTTCTTTCAATAAGCTTGGGGTGAATGTGTATCCGTGAGATTCAGTTCATAGGATTGTCTTGATTCATTGCGAGTGATTTCCCTTGTTTTATTGGTGCAGCGAACGGTCGATTCAAGCGAAATGTTTTCGGATTTTCGCGTATTTGTTCTGAACCTTTGCCTTTGTAGTGTGCTAACTTTTATTCTTCAGTGCTTCCATAATACAGTAATCCTATGCAGCTAACTAGCATCCTTTAAGAACCTTGAGGTCGCCTACCACATCTGAAAGTCAGAGGCGATTGTACAGCAAGGTTCAACTTCTTTGGAGGCGACTAGCCTTACACCTCTATACCTTCTAATTTTAGCTCATAAAGAGTTTGGAGGCCGCCCGGGGGTAAGTGAGATTGTCACTCGACGACTTTTCCACCGCTAATTTATCCATTTCACAGGAACGGAACTAGCATGATTTCATTAATCATACCTCCGAAAGATCAGACATCAAGAGTTAACAAAATGCTTGCTGACGAATTTGGAACCGCGTCCAATATCAAATCTCGAGTTAACCGACTCTCGGTTTTAGGAGCGATTACGTCTGTGCAGCATAGGTTAAAATTGTACACGAAAGGTATGATCAGGATCTGCCATTTCGGATTTTTTAATAACGCAATTTTCATCTGCAGTGCCTCCGAATGGGCTTGTGATATATTGTGGAACGATTGTAACAGAGGAAGGGAAGGAAAAAAAGGTCAACATCGACTTCGAACCATTCAAGCCCATCAACACGTCCTTGTATCTCTGTGATAACAAGGTATGTCCACGCCTGTCCGGGCCTTCATTTCGTACGGATATTTCTTCATGCTACCACCCTGGAGCCATAATTTTATCTTGATCGTGCCGAATTACCCTCTCTTTCACTTCCACCGCTCTCTTGCCTCTCCGTCGTTTGTCCTCTACAGTCACATCACTTGTCTGGTTGATATCGAGTTTTCAATACTTGCAGTTCCATACGGAGGCGTTGAATGCGCTGTTGGCAGATGACAACAAGTTCGGATTTATTGTAATGGATGGTAGCGGTGCACTGTTCGGAACACTCCAAGGAAACACACGAGATGTGTTGCACAAGTTTAATGTGGATCTTCCGAAGAAGCACGGTCGAGGTGGTCAATCCGCGCTTCGTTTCGCTCGTCTTCGTCTAGAAAAGCGACACAATTACGTCCGAAAAGTCGCGGAAGTTGCAACGCAACTTTTCATTACCAATGACAAACCGAATATAACTGGCATGGTGTTGGCTGGTTCTGCTGACTTCAAGACTGAACTGTCGCAGTCCGACATGTTTGATCCCGTTAGTATGCAAACATCAAAACTTTGAAGCGTATTTAAGCATATTTTGTTATTTTGACAGCGTCTGCAATGTAAGATCATTAAAATTGTGGACATTTCGTACGGTGGAGAGAATGGATTCAACCAAGCAATAGAGTTGGCTTCGGAGAGTTTGGCGAATGTCAAGTTCATCCAGGAGAAGAAACTCATAGGACGGTATTTTGACGAAATTAGCCAAGACACGGGAAAATATTGCTTCGGTGTGGATGAGACACTAAAAGCATTGGAATTAGGCGCTGTGGAGACGCTGATCTGTTGGGAGAACTTGGATATTCAGCGTTACGTTTTGAAGAACAATCAGACCAGCGAGGAGCGAGTGTTGCATTTGACTCCAGAGCAGGAGAAGGACAAGAGCCATTTTACGGACAAGGAGGTGCATTTTCTTGGCCGTTTTTGCGAAAGTCCGAAAGTCGAGTACTTAAAATAAGTTTTCAGATTATTCGGTTAAATTTTTAAATACTTGAAAGCTATTATCATTTTTGCGGATGACAAGCGCGATAACGCCGAAAATCTAGACTATTTTCATCTGACCGAAAATTATCCGTGTGTCTTAGCGAATCAGCTCGATGTTAAATGAGTGGAAGTATGATTTCAACCGTTTCAAATCAATTATGAATTATTTTGCAGACCGGTGTGGAACTTGAACTTGTAGATAGCATGCCGCTGTTGGAATGGCTAGCAAATAATTACAAGAATTTCGGAGCGACTCTTGAAATTATCACTGATCGTTCTCAAGAAGGCTCACAGTTCGTTCGGGGATTCGGTGGAATTGGAGGTGAGATATCTGATTCTTTACTACTGTGATCGTACAGAAAATCTGAGTTGCCTTTCGAGTACTGTATTCGTTCCGATTGTGATTTTCACCTTACGCAGTTCAGTTTTAGCGCGTTCGTCATATTTATCGCGAAGATGACTTGATCTATCGATCTGTACTGCTGGTTTCCGAAATTTCACTCCGTTTAAAATTAAATCATACTGCTCCTTTCTTGGAATTGTTTTGTTTTCGTCTTGAATAATGCGAAGGATTAATTTCCTCAAGAAAAAAATGAGCGAGAAGTGAAAACTTATCACTGCTTTTTGTCATAGTTTCACCAAAGTTGTATTCCTTTGGATTCCCATATATACTGGTCTTTCATTGCCATGAATCCTGCATCAAACCTCGACTGTCTAACATTGATCCGTGGCAGGTCCGATTTCCTAGTGTAATTTAGATGCTCTTCACGACAGTCTCTGATCAGATTTTATTTAATTGCTTGGGGAAGAAAGATGGAAGTGTAAATAGTACAACTCTGAAATACAGTACTGTATATGGTTTTTTGTCAGTTTCCCCGTCTGGTTTACATTGATATTTTATGGTTATTCTGTCTTGATCCGTAGGAATTCTTCGCTACAAGGTAGATTTCCAGTGTTTAGAAGTGGCGGATTGCTTAGACGACATCGATCTGGATGACTACTAAGCTCAGCCTGAGGCAGAAAGCAGTTTCCAAGAGGAGAGCGTTGGCATGTCTGAAGTGAAGAAGCCACCGCTTTCCACTCATTTTTTGTTTGTTTTCGCACTTTTCATCTCATTCCCGTGGTCCATTGTAAAACGTTAATTTCTTTCCGCTGTTCGGTTACGTCTCCGCTTCTGCTATTTGAAATTTTTTTGTTTTTTCATGCTGGTACTATCCTAGGTTGAGTTTTCATCAGGAATCCCAGCCAATTCGATGAAGGGTTTTTCTAGTGTTGAACTCCCGCATCGACGCGTTGATGCGCGGCGAACGATCGCTGATTTTCCATAAACTTCTATTGGATTTGCTCGTTTCCCTGTTTTCAAACAACCGCTACATGAATTTCTTGATCCATTTCGGTTCTTGTTTTGATCGGCTAGTGTCGTCGTCGTTAATCTCCCTTCCGTTTTCTGACAAGTGTCAAGTCTGTGGATACCGGCGGAAATTTTTTTTTGATCGGCCCATTTTGTTCATATTCTGGTGGCGGGGAGTGTAAGTCGGTGGCGCCCGTAGTTTACGCAGGGGTAATTTTCTGGTTACCAGCGAGTTTTTCTTGAAGTTATTCTGATACGGTTTTTTGCGCTCCTGGTTTTAATTTTTTCTTTCCAGCTGAAATTCGAACGCATATCGGTGAAGCGGTGTTTCTCGCTTTGTTTTGAGTTTCAACAGTAGTTAATTTCGTTTTTGATCGAACGCGGTATTTTTCAGTTTAAAATTATATTAAAGAGGCAGCAGTTTTCAACTCGGGAGTTTCACGAAATTTAGCCTCGCTCACATTCCTAGTTCACCTTGAAATTTCTTTAATTGACAAAATCTATTGTCCTTCAATGTCGGAAGGAAAATCGGGACGACTTGTTCGACAAAAGTTTCAGGTATGTGACTCAGGGTCCACCGATATGTTCAGAATTTCTGCTTGAAGAAATCTAACAGGGCGTATCGACATTTATTTACCGTTATATTTTTCACTCTTCTTTTATGAACTTGATGAATCGTCTTTGGAAAGCTTAGCTTCTCTGCTCTCACGAGCTCCTCGACCGGAATGAAAATTGATGAGATATTTTCACGCGCTGAAGCATCTTTGCGCGATGAGGAACCCGAATAAAAGAAGCCTCTACTCTCGGGTGCGGAAAAAGATTCTCATTTTCTTTCTCTCAAGAATTTGCGTCGCGTTTCATGAATATTTGCCCAAGTAAATCAATATCGAGCTGGCCTTCTATCATCGCTTTTTTTTGTCTGCATCGGTGCGCAGGCTCGTGCGAGCGGTGGCAGAGACGAGTGTATTTTTTAGCATTAGACTTGTTGGCCGTTCGTACTCAAAATTGGGCGTTTTTGAACTAAAAATGGTTTTTTTCCTGATTTGTTAACCACTGTTAACTTGAAAACAAAATTTCAGCAACCCGTAAGTTAATGCATTATTCACGAAGGATGGATCTCAGATTTTTATCCTGTTTTATATAATTGAAACAAAAACGGCAACATAGCCTAATTCACGCTATTTTACGAACTTATCACTCGTGCGCAGCTTATTATCGGAAGTCTTTTACCGAGGACGATAGAAAGCGCAGGTCCTGGAGTTAGCGGTTTGCAGGACGATGAACCGGAGTTTGATCAATACACTCCGTGGTAGGCGTTAGCAGCTGAGGTTCCATGTGCGAAGCGATGCTTTAGTTCACGCAAAGATGTCGGACGAGGAAAGTGACAATTCTAGTTACGGTGATAAGGATGATTCTGCTGGATCCGACAGCATTGACGACGAGGATCATTTGCGGAGTACCCGCTTGCTGCAGCTTGTAAGTGATGCGACACGGATACAATAATATTTTCGATATATATTTTTTTTATTTCCTGTCCGTTTCCGCGGTTTTGAGAACATGTGTTCTTATGTACATTTTTCTGCGCGTGAAGGTTCAAGCTATGAGAGATCGAGTGATTTTTCCTTCAAATGCCGTACAACAAATCGTTTGGTCTGAAGACGTCACCGAAAAGGCGAAAGCATTTTTTACGAAGCCTGAACTGAAGGAGTTGTTTCTTTACGTCAGAGAAGGGCCTGAAGGGCATTTCACGTTGGAACCGCGACACATGCTGAGAAAAGACTCTTGCAAAGCGTTGTTCTACTATTTCATCAAGATTTCCGATGTTGAAGTTACCCGTGATAATTTCCATGACGAAGTGGCCTTCGGGAAGATAAGAATGTTGCCACTAGGACAGCTGTCGTACTAGCTCATGTACGTGAGAGCAACCTGACGTCAAAATGCGCCTAGACGAGAAGAAGGAAGAACATTCGCCTTGCGACACCCAAGTAGTTACTTTTTTAAACTCGCATCTACATTATTTTCGCTGCATTTTCTTAGACGTATCCTTTCTCATTTTCGCTTCTCCTCTTCTGTATCCCAGACCCTCGAAGTCTTACTCAAAAATAAATGTGTCGATGCATGTCCTCCGCCCGTTCAACTACCTTTTCTATTGTTTTGTAAATCGAAGATTGATTTCACGAATCATCATATGCAGCTAATAAGTAGACTCTTGAAAAGGATGGAAGACTCGTTGAAAAGCATTTTCCAGCATTCGAATTTCTGTTTTACTTTTTGAATTGCGAAAGCACGATGAAAGAGCAAATTTGAAAAAGCATCTGACGACTAATTATCATTTGTTGGGTTTTCTGGGTTGCTGGCCGTGGTGTTCAAACCATTACAGCTGAAGTAATTAATGAGGCTTGATTGCGAAGCTGATTGGATGAACTTAAATTTTACGTTTCTCCTGAATACAGTATTGTGTAAAAATTGTCAGCCGCTTTTTCGAGCCATCCAGCAGAATTCTCTGTTGAAGTACCCATAATGAAAACTTTTAATTTTTCTGTTGTGAAAAATTTACGACAGAATTACAAATATTGCAAAACCTAATGGACTTGAATTGTTCCACAGTTGTGGAAAAAACTATGTCTGCGGAGACCCTTCACTTGCTGACCTACTTGAGGGGTTGGAAACATTACGAAGACAAAAGAGCGACTTTGTTGGCCCCTCTAGATTCCGAGACATTGAAAAATTGTGACCCTGAATTGATCGAAGGCGTAGTTTTGGTGTGGTTACGCCAAATCCGGAATGCCTTGAGTTTATGTGAATCACCTGCCATGCGTTCGAAAGGATCTGATTCTGCGGGGTATCTTGACGAGATGAAAAAATGGGAAGCTCTTGGTGAGTATTTCCCGCATCGGGTAAACTTTTTTTTTTCGTGCTGTCTATTCCAAGATTGGAGATACTCTTTTGTGTTGGATTTCATTGTTTTTGAAATTGCAATGCCTACGAAAAATCTTCGTTCTTAGTTTTCCGAATTTTTTTATTTAGGTATGAATCTTCAGTCGATCATAGTTCAGCTGAAAAATCCGGAGATCGTGCAAGTTTTGGGATTGGCAAGGGATTATCACTCCCCGTTCATGGTCCAGTTCGACAAATTGGCTACTAAAGTCGAGGTGACGAGGCATTGTATAATTAATTATCTGTGAGCCGTGTAACTTCACAATGCAGTAAACCTCCAAATTATCTGGTGCCTTTTCGCAAAAAATCCAGCATCACTGATAGTTGATGTAAATTATTCAAAACTTCATTCCTCGATTGTTTCCTCGACTATCTGATGAAAGTTTTTCGATCAGAGCAAGATTAGAANTTCTTACAACGGTGATCCTGTCGACAGCATGATCGAGTACATGCACTCTCGTTGGACTGCAGTTTTACGCGGATCTGCTCTTCTTCCTTCTTGTAAGCGGAACGCTGTGGGTTCATCAATGAAAAAACAAAACTCGCATCTACATTATTTTCGCTGCATTTTCTTAGACGTATCCTTTCTCATTTTCGCTTCTCCTCTTCTGTATCCCAGACCCTCGAAGTCTTACTCAAAAATAAATGTGTCGATGAATGTCCTCCGCCCGTTCAACTACCTTTTCTATTGTTTTGTAAATCGAAGATTGATTTCACAAATCATCATATGCAGCTAATGACTAGACTCTTGAAAAGGATGGAAGACTCGTTGAAAAGCATTTTCTAGCATTCGAATTTCTGTTTTACTTTTGGAATTGCGAAAGCACGATGAAAGAGCAAATTTGAAAAAGCATCTGACGACTAATTATCATTTGTTGGGCTTTTTTAGGTTGCTGGCCGTGGTGTTCAAACCATTACAGCTAAAGTAATTAATGAGGCTTGATTGCGAAGCTGATTGGATGAACTTAAATTTTACGTTTCTCCTGAATATTGTGTAAAAATTGACAGCCGCTTTTTCGAGCCATCCAGCAGAATTCTCTGTTGAAGTACCCATAATGAAAACTTCCAATTTTTCTGTTGTGAAAAATTTACGACAGAATTACAAATATTGCAAAACCTAATGGACTTGAATTGTTCCACAGTTGTGGAAAAAACTATGTCTGCGGAGACCCTTCACTTGCTGACCTACTTGAGGGGTTGGAAACATTACGAAGACAAAAGAGCGACTTTGTTGGCCCCTCTAGATTCCGAGACATTGAAAAATTCTGACCCTGAATTGATCGAAGGCGTAGTTTTGGTGTGGTTACGCCAAATCCGGAATGCCTTGAGTTTATGTGAATCACCTGCCATGCGTTCGAAAGGATCTGATTCTGCGGGTTATCTTGACGAGATGAAAAAATGGGAAGCTCTTGGTGAGTATTTCCCGCATCGAGTAAACTTTTTTTTTTTCGTGCTGTCTATTCCAAGATTGGAGATACTCTTTTGTGTTGAGTTTCATTGTTTTTGAAATTGCAATGCCTACGAAAAATCTTCGTTCTTAGTTTTCCGAATTGTTTTATTTAGGTATGAATCTTCAGTCGATCATAGTTCAGCTGAAAAATCCGGAGATCGTGCAAGTTTTGGGATTGGCAAGGGATTATCACTCCCCGTTCATGGTCCAGTTCGACAAATTGGCTACTAAAGTCGAGGTGACGAGGCATTGTATAATTAATTATCTGTGAGCCGTGTAACTTCACAATGCAGTAAACCTCCAAATTATCTGGTGCCTTTTCGCAAAAAATCCAGCATCACTGATAGTTGATGTAAATTATTCAAAACTTCATTCCTCGATTGTTTCCTCGACTATCTGATGAAAGTTTTTCGATCAGAGCAAGATTAGAAAGACTCTAATTGAATTACTGTACAGAGGCCACTTTGTGTCCTTTAAAGAATCTGACGTGTTTTAGGATCAATTAAATCCTGAATAAGCGGAGTTTACTGTATTTCTATGGTCAGCATGAGCAAGAACGTGCTGCTTCGAACCTTCGCTACTTGGAGCCTTTAAAACCAGTCATCGAGAAGTATCTGGAACCGAAGACTGCACCGGATTTAGCAGCGGCTATCAACTCGTATCCGCAAGTAGTTGCTCACATTTCGACAGTCTGGAAAACGTCGCCCTACTACAATAGCAAGTGTGGTACTTTAGTTTGACTTATGATTTTTCCCATCTCCCGAAAAACGTTGTTTTAAATTCGTCCTCGATAGGGAAAGTATCCTTGGCCTGATAAACTTGCTGACAAATGACGTTCTAAAATTGTGCGGGTCGTCCGTGAATTTGGACAAGCTTTTCCATGGGCACTCGATTTCCTCCATCGAAGCGCTGGAAAATTCAATCTTAGCTTGTGAAAAATGGCACGAATTGTTCACCAAGGTATATATTTTCATAAGTCTTGCTTCGTATTGAATTGCGGTAGTCCAGCTAAAACTATGTGATCAATCATTGGAATCAGGGATCAAGCAAGAAAAAGTCGTTGTTGAATCAGCTTGGATGGTCACCGACGGATATTTTTGCTCCTCTGAAAACATTCGTTTCTCGGTGTCACGAGCTCATCGACGTGTGCAACTCCGTGAAGCAACTTGTACGCATGAAAACTGGTCGCCCGAATATTTTGATCGACTTTCCGGGGAAAATCGGTCCAACTCTTCGTCAGCGCTTATTGGACATCGAAGGAGCCTTTGTAGTCGCCTTGAAACAATTGGAAAAGTCAAAATCAAAGGCTCTGATCGTACCTTCCGCTTCATGGCAAAATGGTTTCACGAAGTGAGTTCTCCTGATGGCAAGAGAAAAGCAGACTTATGAATATTGATAAGAAAAACACATCATACGCTTCTCTGGACAAAAGCGTGGAAATTCACCATCATTTTCATATCATGGGCAAAAGTAGTGTAAAAGAATACAGCGGATTATGAAATGAAAATCATCATGGCCCTAAATCCCCTCAGCGTTAGTATAAGAGTTCATGAATTTTGTATCAAGTAATATTTCTATTTGGTTTTCTCGTGATTGATTGTCTTACTGGTTGTTTCTCTTTTCAAAAGAGCTCCGGAATCCTGAACGGGATTATTTTTCTTTACGAGAAAATATTCTTGCTGTCGATTTCAGATTTTCAGAGGACGTTCACATGATCGAAAAGCAACTCAAAGTTCTCCTGAAAGATTCCTCTGACGCCTATAGTCGATTTGACGAAACAGTTTACGTGCTGGACATCTTTTATGAAATGAGTTCTCGTAGAGCTCTGCAAGCCGTCTTTTCCGAATGTGTGCAGAAGGTTTGTTTAAAAACCAGTCTTCCGGTAGGCTGATTTATTTAATGCTGTACAATAATTTTATATCACCTTTTCAGGTTTGGAGGCGTTTTTCCGCGTGCGTCGAAAAAATTGAAGACTTATTTTACGCACTTCCTGAAGGAATGTCGATGGACTACCCTTTTTATAGCGGTCAGGCTTGGATGGCGAATTCCTTTCGCAATCAGCTCCAAGATATGAAAGACCAAATTTGGCGATACGAATGGCTGCCCGAGGTAAAAGTTTTAAGAGAGCTTCTTGTTTCAACGATTTGTACCCATTCCAGGAGCTAGGGTAAATATGTGAGGTAACATTCATTTCATAGACGCTCGTCGATTTCTTAGCGAGTCAACCTGAATAAGTTTTTTCTTGTTGTCAAATCTGACGTGCTCCGTTGTTCGCTTTGCAAAATTGTGTAACATGAAGTCTGTGGTGCAAGTTGGAACGACGAGTTCACCAACTTTCAAATGACTCTCCTCAGACGTGATTCAATAATGTCATGCGTCAAAAATCAAAATGCAAATTAACGATGAATTTCATTATTGTTTTGAAAACCTTATTGTGACGAATATTATGGCCACAGCGTCACTCAAAAAAAGTAATTCTACTGCTGGAAAAATGCCAGATGCTTTCTCAGACTTGCGATTGAAATCGATCGTTCCAACGATTTTAGGGCAGCCCCAAGAGTAACTGGCATTTAAATTTTTTCGAGAGCCGATGAGCAGAAATCATGATTTATGAGCTTTTGTGTAATCCCCAGAAATTTCTCGACGATACGGTAATGACGTACTACAATGTTTTACGAAAAGAAATGGAACAGAGTTCTGCGAAGTGGTTTCAAAAATGGATCGTGGAAGTGGACAAAGGCGGAAGTCTCTTGTCTCGGTTGGAACGTCCTTTACTGGTTCCTATGGTCAATACTTCGCAGCTTACAGCGCCTGGAATTAGTGTCAACTTTGATTGGTTTGCACTTCCACAATTGGCCGGAATATTGACGTTTAAACGTTTCTGATTTTTTTTTCTTTTCAAGGGAACTCTTGGATGTTTTTAAAGAAGCTATTTACTGGGAAAGGCTCGGCTTTGATTTGCCGCGCACGTGTTGGGAAGTTTACCGGAAACGAGATGACATACAATGGCTGAGGGAGGAATTGTCGATGTTTTGTCAGAGCTACAATGACACCGTGTCTCGTCAGTAAATGTTTGATTTTCCCAAAATAAATTGAGTAATTTATTTTTTAAAATTGATACGTGTATTGGAGCTACGTTCGTGGCACTATTTTTGATCAGAGACAATTTTGTCATTTATTGCATCCCCTATAAATTTTGAGTAAACCCGGAATTATATCCCGAAGAGAAATTTGAAGGAAGTGAACATACTTTCAGAACTTACTCAAGTCTTTTTTTTTTGTACAGCGAGCCTTCCACGGTTTCAAGCCCGCCTGTTGTTTTAATTTTTGAGAAATAATTGAATCGCTTGCAGTTGTTTTGAATAAAACCTCTTATATGTTATCCTTTGAAAATAATCGACTAAAAAAAAAACTTTCAGAACTGACTACTGCTGAGAGATTGATGTTTGCGAACCACCTGATTCAAGTCGACCGAGTTGTTGCGCCTGCGATGAAGTCCAACAACTGGATGATGAATTTCGGGGAAGCTGGTCAGTTTCTCAAGCATGCCCATGAAAACTTACGCAATGTGAGCAGGTTTCTTCTTCTCTTCATTCTTGTCCCGTACACAAACCACCCAAGTCATGGTTGATTGATCCATCCATTTCAGGTCAAGTTAATGATTGACGAGTATGTCGAAACGAACTTAGCGGTCAGGACTTTAGTGGACTCAATCGGAGACCTGCTCCTGGTTGATTTTGCTCGCATTGATCCTGATGCGGTTGAACCTCTTCTGATCACGAATTGGTTGATACACTTCGAGAAGTCGAGGTGATGCAACAAAATCATGTTATTCGCGTAGCTGATTAATTTTTTTTTACTTCCGAAACTCGGTATTGAAAAAAGCTGACGATCGTGAAAATGTAAAAACCGGTCACCTTCGAATTTCTACAGAGGATTACGATTGAAGGAGTTAACGAACTTTGTTAAGCGGATCGTTATCGAGGTGAAACAATTATCCGGAGCTTTCGACCAATTTAATGCACTGATCGCCACTTCCTGGAACGCCTATGTTTGCCGAATCGACGATGAAATCGAGACTTTCATCCGGAAGAGTTTGAAAAATTCGTTATCCGCCATGAAAACATTCATCACGAGAGGCGTTGGACCTGCTGTCGGAGCTGCTGCTGGGGAATTTGCAATCGTGTTCGAAATCTGCTTCTCAGAAGAAAAAGAACGGGTTAGATAAATGAATATGCTGGAAGAAAAACTTGTTCCTTGAAGAATTCGGCATTTATTGCAATAGATTTGAGAACCATTTTTTCACGGATGATGAGATCCAGTCGAATCCCTTCAAGTCGATCTTCAATTTAGGGACCAGCAAAGAAATTCAAGTTGAGAGGTTTCGAGTTAGGGAAACAAGCATTTGTGTTCGGGGAAAGAGAAAAAAAATACAAGAAATTGTAGTTGATGATATTCTGGAACTTGAATTGCTTTTTAAATGATTTGACAGGATGCTAACCTTGGAGGCAAAGGTTCATTTGCTGCATTATTCTTTCACTTCCTTTCAAAACACATCAATTGACATTTTTATTGCTTTTCTTTTAATGTGTCGATAAAGTGATAGTCAGAAGGTCTTCAGAAAATTCGAGTTATGGAAGTTTGAGGAGGAGAGCCTTCAAGTTTGGAAGGTTTTCGATTTATTGTTCGTAAAGGGATGTCATGATGTGATTCAGACATGGGCTTAAAATAAATGGATATGGTGAGGTATCCGACTCAGAGAAGTTTGGAACATCGAGGTTACACTTAAATGCAGTATAATATAAGCGCTTTTAACTGGATTATTTACTCGAGTACCACGCGCACCTAAAACGGATTAGATCGAATCATTGAAAATAACGTCGTTGATAACCTTCCCTGAAATAAAGATAGCTGAAATAATGTTTTCCTTCGAACCGATAAGGTGATATCGGTTAATTGAAATGAATGAAGGTACGTTTTTAGAAATCAGTTTGAGACGGTAATTTCAATCGATTGCATGGAATAATCTGATGATTTTCTCATTTCTTTATCGCAGGTTGAAGTTGTTCCGGACCCGAGCTTGTTTGCGGAAGCGATTGGCGGTACTCTGCAGTACATCGTTCGAGCAATTTCATTCATTCCGCGCATTAGTGCGTCCATGAATATCACTGTCGAGAATTCTACTGTTCCATTTTCCGAAGCGATGAAATCGGATCAGGATCTTTATATTCTCCAAGGAGACATAGTGACGAGTAAGTTTTTTCGTTTCTTGAAATAAATTCTGCGTTTCTCTCGCATCCCCCAGCTTGCGTTTCATATAAGCATCATCTGTGTGTCTTGCCGTGTTTATCAAAAATTAAAAACCTACAAGCTACTTTCTCGGGCACCTCTGTAAATATGTTCAACCCCAAAGACACGCCTGTAGCAGATCTGTGAAATTGATTTCAAATACTGGATCCAGTTTAGAATTGTTAAGAAACAATTAAAAAGTAAAGTACAGTGTGTTCAGTTAGCTGAAAAAGTTCAACTGTAACTATGAAAAAATAAGAAGGCGTGTTCAAGATTTTATCGCGGAAAAATCTCCGTCGATGCTCTATTTATAAAAAAAAGTAGGATAATGAAAGACACGTAATACAATAAACTGCAGTACATACTTACTTCATCGAAATTCAGCTAGAGTAGAATATTTAGGTAGTTCAATAAATTCTTCATGAAGACGAAAAGATTCAACTGGATAGTGATGAATGACTAAAATCAAAATCAACCCTGAAGATACGCTCTCTTTTAGTATTGAACAGAAAATGATATGAAATTAAACTTGGTGTTGGAGAATGTATCGTGTGTATGTGTGGAAAACACGGTCATGTTTGGTTCAACATACTTTCATTCTCAAGTAACCTAATTTTTCGTTCTTAATCGTCAGGTTTATCTTTGATGGAAGAAGAGATGGACGATGCTGTGCGGAAGTGGACGGAGCCCTTTGCCCACATTCTATCCTGTCATGACTGGAAGAAATTCGTTCTGGAATATCTCAGGGCTTCGCCGAGTATTCAAGCTTTGATAGGCGATGTTTCCAGGTATGATTGTGGACGGGAAAAGTGTTTTTCCTTGTTTCACACGCCTGTGAAAAATGAAAGCGCTCACAATAACGCTTTGAAACTCAACAGCAACTTAATCACTTTTTTCCGGAGTTTACCAACCGAATGAGCTAAACAATATTCTAAATCGGAATAAAATAATGTACTGTACTGTATTTTTATTGGACAATGTTGCTAGTGACGTTTGTCTGGTTCCGCACGAACAACGATAAAGAAAGGACCATCAGGCGTGACTTTTTGCGATTGCAGCGTTTGCCCTTCGTTCCTTGCTTTCATTCGTTCGTTCGTTTCACACGACATAAACTTATTTCCAGGTATCATGATCAATGGAAAGTGTTGGATGGAACAGACCCAATGGTAACTGTCCTTCCATTCCTGACCTTGGATTTCGGACCATTGAAAAAGTTTCTTCTGACGGTCGTCGATGATCTTCGAGTTGGTTTATGCGATCAACTCCACGGTCTAGCATTTGAACGGATGGCAATAGCGAAAGCGATCGACAAGCAGCAGTCTGGTGGAGAAAATATTCGCGGGTATGTCATAAATATTCTGTTAGGGGTTTAAAAAAAAAAAAAAAATCAGGCTGAATTTGTATGTCGAGAAGCCTTAAATGTACAATGTGTATGTACGAGGTATGTCCCACGTGAGCGCGACCTTGGGTATTCTAGAGAGTAGTTTTTATATAGCCCATGATGTTGTAAGATCCTGGGATTTTAAAAAACATTTTTGAATTAACTGTATGATAATACAGTAAGTGACAACTTTCCAGTTATGACCAGGGTTCTCCTCCCATGTTGGAGGGTGGCAAAAAAATTTAGGCCAGCTAAAAAGTTTGATTTTCAAACCATTTATTTTCTACATTTTAGCGAGTGGAGTGTCAGGACTCAGGATTAACTGGAAAGGTTTCACTTATCATCAGTAATTTTAAAGTTGATTTTAAAATTTTGAAGAAAAAAATCGCAAAACCTTACAAGATCATGAGCTGTATCATAATTTTTTTTTACTTTTCTACCTATTCGTGAAATAACCGAGGTCGCGCCCATGTGGGACAACTCCCGTATGTCTCTCATTTCACTTTCATATTTTTCAAATTTGCATGTCTTACATTACAATATCATCAGCATTAATCTGGCTGGTCAGCGAATTTTATAAAAATTAAATTTGGAAGGAAGTTGCTTTCCGATATTTCCGACGAAGGCTGAAGTAGTTCGCGTGAGAGGCTTTTATCGTAGTTCTGCGTTTGTCTTCAAATGACAGATTTCAAAATCCTGGCGAAGATTTCTTCGAACAATTTGAAACCATTCCTTGACGACCTCGAAAATCCTGCATCACTCACTATACGAATCATGAAAAAGTGTTATTGTGCTCGATATTACTAAATAATTTGAAGACACGCGAAAGTAAGACAACCCTCACTCGAATTCTTTCATCCGTATATAAGAAAGCACGTGGCTTTTTCTTGAAAAAACATTTTATGATTAAATTGTATATTTTTGAAAGTGCACCGAGTGAACACTCATTTGATTACTTCGGTTTTTCCTATCTGTAATTGCTTCAATGGTTCACGAGATTGTTTTGCTTTTGACAGGTGGTCCAATTTTGCTCTGGTTTCCCCGTATATTTTTCTGAAGTGTGGTCTTTGAATTTGTGTTCTATTCTGTCGTTCTTCGCAGAGGCATTGTGGACGTCACCGATTACGTCTTGAGCGTCGTGAATATCGTCAACCTCTTGCAGAGTCATTCTTATCCAATTGACGAAAATCTCGTGAAAGAAACGCTTGCGATGGCCCATCGATTTCTGAGTGTCGTATCCACAAACGACTGACGAGATTCGTCGATACCTTCCTTTCTTGAAAAGCGATGGAGCCTATTCAAGTGCCGCACATGTCGTTGTACCCGCGAATTTTCTGTTGCCACACTGAATACAGTAAATGAACGACACGCGATCTGTTTAGTAATTATCTTTTTTTTATCTTCTTGGTGTTTTGTTGAATGGATGGTTGGAACGTGGGGTTGCAATCAAAGTTGTGTGTCTGCAACGAGACGGTAGATAATTTGTTCGTGCTCATGCAATCATCGGTTTCTGAACGCTGTGGATATTTTCCTTGATGGATTGATAAAAAAAAACGTCTTCTGATACATACAGTATTTGGAAAGTCTCAATAATTTCTTCTGAAGAGAATTCATCAGCAGTACAGCATTTCTGCGGGGTTTCCCTGCAAGTTCCTGAAATTTAACCATTTTTCTTGATTTTTTTTTCAATTTATCCATTTTTTTGCAATTCCTCAGTATTTCATGCTTGAGAAGCATGATAACTCAATTTTAAAAAGTTCTTGTCTTTTTAGATCTATAAGAATGTACCGAAAGTTTGTTACTTCACGACTCATATCCAAAACCAGATCGAAAGAATTTGTTTTCATGTGCCAAATGGTTGATTTGATTTTTGCTGCGCGTTGGGGCTTCCAGGAAATTGAAAATGGGGATCCGCAATGCATATTTTCAAGGTTTTCGTAAAATTATAATGTTCAAAACCCACTTAGACAATGGGGAATACAATACTTATACGCGTCAAATGCCGTGCTCTTACCTGACTTGCTTCAAATTCCCTCAACATGGAATGTTTCTCCTAAAATTTTCAATATTGAAACTTAAATTATGAAAATAAATTCTGATAAGAATAACTAAAGAATTAATGCAATGAAGAGTTCTCTGACAATCCAATCAAGTCGGGCATTATTCCTTCATGAAATACTGTTTTAGTACTGTAACAGTTTCTCATTTGAAAATAAAGGAACCTTTGGCAAAGAAAAATAAATCACTGAGAATTTTAAGTGAGCAGAAATTGTGTTGCATATTTTCTGCCATTCTAAAATGTTTTCAAGAAAAATCTTTGCGTTTCCTCTTTTTGATGAACTTGTCATGTGACACAACTCACACAAGTACGTTCTGCTAATTTTTTTCAAAATCATTGACAATGAAATACCTGTTTCCCCCATACTCCAAATCATGAACAAAAATTATTTTTACTGTTCTGAAGTTGAAGTCAAAAAAATCTTCAATGCAATTCGTATGAGATTGTTCAAAGTGTTGGGGTATCTGTCGCTGGAAATATTGATGCAATGAAACGTTTTCAGAATACTGTACACTGCTGTGGATTGTGTTGCCACAGAATCTCAATGGAGCTTGCGCAGCTAGTATATCGCCCCTATAAACGGGAAGTAAATATGATCGGTCTAGTTTCCATCCATTATTTTAATCTAATTTTGTAGGATGACGAATGATGGATTGAGAGCTAAAAATGCATTCCCGGTTCATGTCCTCGTTCTTGATCCATTCTGCGTGCGTGCGCAACTTGAAGCTCGCGCCATATGTTATGTAACACATTTCTGAATACTGTACAGTACTAGTTAAAAATAAAATAGTATGCTCCTGTATGCATTGATTGCATTAGCGGCCTCAGTGATTATAGATATAGTTCACGCGCCCATTCCTTTCTCCGAGTTCAGTAAAAGATGATGATCTTGGCTGAGCTCATGACGTTTTTCTGACCCAAAAGAGCTAAGAGGTTTCTCGAGTAGCATATGGAAGAATCCGTCGCCATTAAATACGTGAAATACTAATTTAGTTCCCAATCTAAACCTTACTTTTCAGTATTTCTTCACGCAATGCAATACTGTGCTGTAGAACCTCAAGTTTACGTATCTTGAATATTCCTGCATTAGATTGATTCTGCCAAAATTTCAAATTCACTATAGGAAAATGAGCAGCCTAAAATCCAGTAATTTATCAGTGACAGCCTCTTCATTTTCCAAGGTCACTTCACTTAATCTTCAGAAAATACAGTACTGTAATGTCAAGTTCAGCGTAAGGAGCTACACTGCTACAGTATGTAAAGATGCATGTACGCATCCTGCCAGTCTTCGAAGAGAATTTCGAAAGAGCAACTAGGGTGGAAATTGTTTGTTGAGATTTGAAAGCGAGTAAATATCTAAGTCACATCGCTGCATTTTTTCCCCTTCTTACTCATCAATTATTCTCCGGGCGAGAAAATCGAGGTTCCATTGCAACAAATTGAGAGTGAAGACGCACGGAAAATAATCACGCTCGGACTTGCGCAAAAGCACCAATCCCGAATCGCCGCACTTCCTCGTCATACCGCGCAACAAATGATTCGCAATGGTCTCTTGCATAAAGAAAGCAAAACATTCATTTCCAAACCTAAAAGATCAATAGACATTCGTCGACATTTCACAACACAAGCCAGTCAAGCAACGCGCATCGATTTCCACCAACATCCGGGTATTCCGAGTAAAACCAACCGACTCCGAAAATGTCTCGACTGCAACTCATCATCATGAACGGAACAATGTTTTCACCAGGTCACAGTTCAATCGGGAATACAGCAAAGCAGAGCTACTAGAAACAAAATCGACAACCTTTCTCTTCAAAGAGATGCCACGTCAAGAGTTCATTCATGGCTCGCTTTCCGTCAAATTACCTCCTAAGTTTCCCTGGGAGACACGGCACTATAAAATCACAGAGAAACCCCTGGTGACTCTCGCAGATCAAAAAAAGTTACGCGAAAACTGGTGGAAACAGCAAGAAAAAAAAAAGAAAACCATGGTCCGTGAAAAAGGGTTGCCTAGATCCAGCTCCTCGTAAACATGTACTTTCCGAACACTTCCGGGAAAATTTCGATTGTTCAAAAAACTCTTGCAAAAATGGTGGAAATGCGATAACCACATTCCCAGAAAATCGTTCTTTGTGAAACGATAGCAAAATTCCCCCCTTCAGCAACTCTCATCAAATGACGTAAAATGAAGGAACTGGCCAATAGGACATCATACGATCTGTCATCAACCTCGTCAACTACTTCGCAAACATTTCCTCGACAATTTTCCGCTTTCGAAAAAAAAAAAAAAAACTGGTGGGCTTCAGAAACGAGGTATTCTCACAGCTGCTTTGCCATGGAAAACGTTCCAATATAAAAACTGCGCAATTTGAAAACCGTTTGTGCCAATGGCTGCTATGCAACGTCTTTCAAGCTCTTCTTTTTCGCTGAAAGGGTCATTATAAATGAAATACGCGGGGGAAGTGAGCTACGCATCAGTAATTCCCAAGCTTGGTTCAAGGAAGGAATCCTGCATTTTTCTTCAAACTACCCAAACACGCCCGACACGAGACACGCGCAAAACTCCTTCCTCATGTGCACACATTTTCTCACAGTGTGCGCTCTAGTTCATCTTTTCCACATTTGAGCATATGCTCTCCTTTGCTTGTTTCGGTCGACCAAAATAAAAAAAAAGTTCAACCGTTTCCTTCCGAGAGCTCATTCCAATTCGATAACTTCCCACTCGGAAATGTCTAAATCTCACCCAAAAAAGTGTGCAGGATTTGAGGAATCGCCGTTTTCTTTTTCTTCTACAACTGTAAACTTTGTGCAAAATTAAATCGAAAATTCCATCCCGGAAAGAGCTGCTCTGCCGCAACTTTTAAGGTCAACAAATGAGAGAGAGCAACAATATTCTGAGCAGTTGGGTGACAAGATCGCGTCACGTCGTCTAAACGAAAACAAAAAAAGAATCGGAGGTCTAATTGTATCTCATATATGGCTCATGCGGACTGATGCAGAGATCAAAGACTCGTCCCATAAGTTAAAACGGTTCAAATTTGGCGGCGCAAGGTAACAAAGGAACGCAGTTTCGTTGGCACAGCGAAACGATGGGAAATAATTCGTAACAAGTCTTACCCAAATCTGTGGAAGAATAAATTTTATAAAACCATAAAATCTATTCCTGCACCACAAGGCAAAAAAAAAATTTCAACGACTAGACTCCACGCTATCACTCTCGAAATCGTTGGGTCAATTTGCATAAACAAGTTAGGTAATGCTGCTGTAGCGCAGAAACGAAAAAAAAAAAAACTTACTGATACATAGCTATGTAAAAAAAAAGCTTTGAAACAGTCACATTGGAAATAAATCGTCGCCTTGCGTCGCACTTCTTTGCATGCGATGATTTACCCGCGATGATTTGACCCGTTGGTGATTGCAGCGGAATCATACATGCTGAAGGATGAGGCTTTCCAGCGCACGTTACCCACTCTTGCCGTCACTCAGCGCCAAGACTTCTACGAATTCATCAATGATACGCATCCGACATTAATTATGGACGAACAGCATCAAATGAAAAATAATGTACGTAGACTCGCTCTACAATGAAATTCCAGGAACAAACAAAAAAGTTTGCACAGAGAGTTTCGTTGCAGAGAACCCCCATAAACATGGGTGATACAAAAAAAATCGTTGTACAGAGAAAATCGTCGTAGACAAGACTGTGGGAGAGAGTTCGCCACATGTACGACGATGGGAATTCCAGCGTGCCCCCCCACCCCTAATTACTTCTCAAACTGAGTCCATGTGAGGAAATCCCTCACGTCGGATTTTATTTTCGTACAAGACTTCATTCCTAACATTTCAAATTACTTGTCTTGTTTTTCAAATAAGGGAGAATTTCTCTGAAATTCAATGCGACTTTTTTTCAACAGAAAGTAAATGAGCAAAAAAATCACACAGAATACATTTCAAGCTCACAAAGCCATATTCTATGCTGTGTACACTGATGGAATAAATTCTGAGAAGGGAAGCGCAGAATTGGAAAATAAAAACGCATAGTAAAGCTAAGTTAAAAAATGTTGAACATCCATAAAATTCTTAGATCAATACTGTATGACAAAGAGGATACAGTATAGCCTTTACCGAAATGGACAAGTTACATACAACATAGTGAATATACAGTACATACTCTCTACAACGACAAAAAAATGTTTACATAGAACCTCCGTAACATGGGTCGAGAAAACTATGGGAACAAAAATTGTTTGCTCTATTGAGAAAATCCTTGTGGGGGGTCCAACTGCACTCTACTCAATGTGCAGCGATTTCCTGAAGCAAAGAAAAAAACCATTTTACAAAAAAAAAAAAAAAAAAAACCAAGAGATTTCAAATGGAACATGCTTTTTCAAAAACTAAGGTTAGGGCTCAACAGACGGGGACGATTTGAAACTCATAAAATTACACTATACAGTTCAACTTCGCAAAAAAAATGCCTGAACATCATGTCAGATAGGGTCGTTCAAAATGCCACGAACATTCATACCCATACAGCCAGTCATAAAATGTATATTATTGCAAAGGTAAAGCAATACGTTTCATCTTGACTATTTTCTTCAGTATCTTTATTTTTCCAAGATATATCATTTCGAAAAAAATCATTTTCCACAGTTTTTTGGACAAGTGTCCATATTTTGAGTCATTGTCCGAATTTCTGGGCAGATTTTTTTGTTTAATTCGAAATGTTCACAGTAAAATTGTCTGAATGTCGGGGCCACATTGTACAATTTTTGGGGACTGTAGAAGCTTATGGGAATGGGAGGTTACAAACGAGATTAAAGATGAGACCATTTGTATTCACAGAGCACCCGCGTTCCCTCGGCCCATCTAGACGTATTTGCTGGTTCAAGTTACACATTCAGTACTGTTCCGCATATGAAGCCAAAATAGAGCAAAGCATATTCTTGAATGTACGTCAAATCGCATTCTTTCATGTTATTTAATTGAACGAAGTTTCTTTTTCAATATACGGTATATCTTCTCGGAAAATGTGCCGTAAACCCGCGAATTCGAAGTACAATACGTGAGAAGTTCCTTAATTTTGAGCTCCTCAAACTGAAAAATAGCTCAATTTCAAATATTTGAATCGTAATAACTTTATTCGCATCACAAGTAGACAAGTCTTCATGCATCTGAAAGAGTTTCATCACTTTTTCTCGAAGCAATGTTATGATCATCACAAAGATAAAACATCTATATTCCGATTATTCCCTCTCCGATAATATTTTACTAGTTCCCATAGAAATTTCACGGGAGAGTTCATTTGCTGGTTTGAAATGTGACTGCCTACAATGGACCAGAATTTTTAAAAATTCCACTGGTATTAAAAGGTCAGCTCAAATTTAATTCAAGAAAATTCTAGCCCTCGAATAGTAATACGGCAATGCCGATAATGTGGAAAAAAGTATCAAGCTGAAAAGGTAGTAACACTCTTCCTCACATTTTCAATTTGGAATGCTTGTTCCGTGTCTTAGAGACTATTTCATACTTGAATTAAACGGTGGAAAATTGTTCACGTAGATGTTGATCCTGAGCAAATTTTTAAAGAGCATCCAATAAATTTGGGTTCACCCTCTTCTGTGCCAAGACGCAATTCAGTCAAGATGCACCCCAAATTTCGTACGTCAACACATGGAAAAAGACCGTCTTACACTTGCGCTAATAAGACGCTGAGAAGAATTATTATCCCACACGTGCTATAATCTCACCCGCTTCCTGAAGAGAGGAAAGCAACCGGTTTCAGGAGGCGGCGGAGGTCGATTAACATCCAAATCCTCAGGCAATCCACCATCGTCTCCAAAAACGTTCAACTCCTCGAAACACTTCGTATCAATCATCTGAAGAGCAAAATTCAGCAATGCTGACAAACAAATTAAGGGCAAAAGAATATCACGACTAACCTCTTGTTGCCACGGAATGGACACTGAACCAGAATTGAATTTGGAATAAAATGTTTTATCACCGGCGTCTAAGTTCACCCCTTTGACCGTAGAAAACTGCTCAATGTCCAAGACATCTTTGGCATACACAGCGTGTGGCTGAAGAACGAGAATCATCAAAATGACTGATGAAAAAAATAATACGAAAATGCGAAGATCGTACGTCAGGTTCAAAAGGTGGTCTACACAACCCAGCTTCCATTCTTTTCCAGTTAATGGAGGCAAAGTAGGGATGGCGTTTTACTTCTCTTCCGCCCCATCTACCTTGATTGCATCCCATGCGGTTCTTTGGTTTTTTCATCAACAGCTTCAAGATGAAAAAAAATTAAAACGCATAAAATAAGATTGTAGATGAATAAAAAGAAAAAAAGTAATTCTCACCCCCTGACAGATAGATCTAGCTTCATCCGAAAATTTGCTGGAATAGGACTCTTGCATCTCCCTGACTCTGCGGTCAACTTCCTCCCGCTTCACCTGAAAAAATTTATAACTTGGCAATACAAGATACTGTACTGCAAAAACGAAATCAGCTCACACACCTTTTCTTTCCGACTTCGAAACGGGGCTTGTCCTTCTATCATTTCGTATATCAAGCATCCGAAGCTGAACCAATCCGGACTGAAAGTGTACACTTCTCCTTCGATGATTTCAGGAGCTGAAAATTAGAACAGAGCTTGATCAAGTGCAAACGGATACATCCTGGTCAAATCAATCGAAAAGATTAGCTACAGTCAGGAACCTCAGCAGAATCACACTTCAAATGAAAATTTTAAAATATGCCATGTTGAACACCGAACAAAAAAATCCAATTCCAATAAGAATTAACTAGGATCTAAATATCTGGCCACTTCAGACGGTCAGTTTTTTTTTAACGAGCGACTACTGTTCTCTGCACGTTGAACATTTGAGCAGAGGCTCTCAGTTAGTTCTGTGCAAAGATTTAAAGCCTCCTCATTGACTACCGAAGAGCTCGAAATGTGCTCCAGAAATGGATAAAAAGTACATCTTTACATTACACATGAAGTAAACACGGAGATGAGAAGACAAGGACTCGTGCGTCAATAGTTCGTATGAAACGAGCACAGCCTAAAAAAATAACTATAAATGCATAGGATATATATGCCCAAGGGGTTCCGCGAAAGAAAATCATCGTGGAATCAGATTCATGGATCAAAAACGTCGGAAACATCAGCAGGTAAGTATTTTCATGACTTCGACATAACTCCCTATCACCCAGGGATTCAATTGATCGCGCTTGAATTTTCAATCATCGAGAGAAATCAAAGTGGCCTGCATATCTCTCAAATTTTATTTTGGAGTAGGCTCCCATACTTTCTTTTGATTACATAATTTTAATCGGCCCTCCGTTTATAGTTTATCAGAAACATTCGGAGTAATATTTACGACAACTCTTGAGTTTTTCCATAATAATTCAATTAAAGCAGATATCCATTTCTTTGTATCTAGGACGAAGATATTTTCATGAAAGTACGAAATTTGGATATACTGTACACAGAAAGTTTGAAAAAATTGGAGATGATCTAGCGGACTATCAAAACAAACCGAAACGTTCGAAGCCAGGCTACTCACCCATATATCCCACCGTTCCGACACGTCCACGAACGCAACCACCTTCGGGAATTTCGACCGCCAACCCGAGATCAGAAATTCGCACATGTCCGTGGTCGTCCAACAGTATGTTCTCCGGCTTGCAATCTCGATACACAATACCCAATGCATGAAGGTCTTGCAATCCACACAAGACCTCCGCCGCACAGAAGACAGCTCGTTCAGGATCAAATCCTGGTTCTCCGCCCATGTTGTGAATGTGAAATTTCAGGTCTCCACCATTCATTAAGGTCAGAACGAGACACAACGAATCCTTGGTTTCGTATGCATACGCAAGGCTCACAACGAAGCGAGAATTGACTTTCTGTAGAATTTGCTTCTCGGCAAGAACCATAGCTTCGCCTTTTCGCTTCTTGATTCGTTTCTTTTCAAGCTTTTTGCATGCATACATTTTTCCCGTCGCACGATTCTGACAGGCGCAAACTTCCCCGAAGCCGCCCTTTCCAAGAACGCGGTACATCCTGAATGTTTTATATGTAACTGGGCGCTCCTCCAACCATTTCCATTGCAGGTACCTCAGGAAGTACATTGAGTTCGTGAATAATCGGAAGGGATCATTCGAAAGGAAGTCTTTTATGCTTTGGAGGCACGGGAAAAAAAGATCTTTCGGTGCGGTCGAGATTTTAGCCCGACATTCTTCTTTCAACGCGTCGTTGATTATCGCATAATCAACAGACGAATCAAAATACTTCTTGCAAATTGCTTCCGCTTGTTCTGAGCGTTTTTCATTGGCTTCTATTTCATACTTATTCATGTCATCGATCAACTCCCAGTACTTATAATATTCGGGATGAAGAGTCTGACAAAACTGACGGAATAATAGATTGCCGATCGGTTGTTGATCAACGATGAACGAGTAACTAACATCTGAAAAAGAGGGACAAATATGAAGTGAATGCGTCGAAGGAACACTTCAGCCCCTACCTATTCGGTTCTGAATATCTTGACACTCCGTTATATGAGGAAATTGGAGAATCTTCTTCCATTTCTTGCTCCGGCCTTTGTTACCGTCGGCAAAACCTGAAGAATTGCTTCGTCATAAATTGACAACAACATGAATAATATAGTACCGAACATACCTTCCCTCGCTTTGAGGTACACGGTGTTTGCGACGATGTTCTCCAACTCCATCTCCCAGGAAGTCATACGGACTGCTTATACTAGCAATTACAACACCGAAGGAACCGCCGCATGGCTCGAACTGTAATTAACTTGTGCCCATCGTGTCATATGATAATCTTGCAAAAATTGGGAAGGTAATATGATTAATGGTCAAACAAGCTTTTAAATTTCCGTAATCGACCGTAGAAGCTCATTCACTCCGGAACTAATGCATAGCTCACAATCCACACGTGAGCAAGGAAAGAATAGATTGGTTAATTACACTTCAGCATCCGCTCGATGCCTTCTCCAGTATACGTACAGTCCGCCAAACAGTCATCAGGGAGAATTCTGAGTTACACTCCAACAAGAATGCGAAGGCCAAAAGGACATCACGAGTTCCATAATTAATGCAATGCTGTCAAGTTCAAGAGGGAACTTCCAGACTTTCAGCATCTGAAGAAACCTCACTACTGATGTTCAGAGAGCAGCCATGTTCTACCGCTAACTCCATCTATCCGTGAATCGCAGTTCTATCGTATCCAGGTGTTCCCGTAGGTACCTACGTTAATTCACTTGGTTGTTCCACTCATTTGGGTACCATTTGGGTATCAGCTTCGATTACGTCACAGCTGGATGTCAGAATAGCAGGCTACTTCATTAAAATTATTGGTTAGGTTTCTTCATTAAGGTTCTTCACATCCCTGGTTTGATAAAAGTGGGTTCTGTCAGCATATAATTTCAGAGTTTCCATGTTTGATAAAGTTACAACAAATATGATGCATTTTTAGTTTGTCTGGATTGTACCACTAGGTTCTTTTGCCATTTTATAGGGGTTCTCTACAATAAAATTATCTCTACAATGAATATTTTCTGGCCCATTGAATTTTGTTGCAGAGAGAGTCCACCTATGTGCAAATGCATGAGCCATTATATAGTCCACATGATGAGTTTTTAGAAGGGCAAGGTTGAAAAAGTATTTGCAGCAGTATATCAGAAAAATGTTTCCTTTCAAAAAACTGCAGTGTTACAATATTTTTGTCGATCTAGTTGCTTTTCCACCAGGTTGAAATAATTGATGGGTGAGTTGTACAGACATTCTCATGATATATACCATCACCAAGGCAGAGATAAGGGTTTTCCAGCTGACATACGTTCAGATCAGCTTTTGTTTTCGAGTACGGTAAATCTGACCCTGAGTAATAAATTCCTCAATCCATTTCAAGTTGCATACAGTTGAAATACTCGACTTGTGAAGTTCCCATATGCTGGCTGGCATTACATAACCATAAAAGAACTTGATCACAGCATGATATTGACGATGGAAATTAATTTAATTGAACCTCGTATACTGATGATGTTTATTCACCAGCATATGCTTGGTCACATAAACTCTAATATTCAACTACTGCATGACAAATCTACCCCAAAATCGGGACTGGTTGTTCCACAAAAACATTCCTGGTGGTTGAATAAATAAATTGTTAGTAAAAAAGGATGAAGCAAAATTAGTAGATATGCACGTATAGTTGGCAGTAAATCGCGCATATCTTTGTAAGTTTTTTCACATTCAGGTCACAGATTCTTGATTATGCTGGTCATCATGGCGATCCGAGAGTTATATACTGTACATCCCTCTTCCATCACCAAATATCACATAATTATGATGTTCAGGGCCTGAAATATATTTGAGCATAAATCATGGGTAATATACACACTTAATGAAACAGTATATCAATATTTTGATGCTGAGCATAATATATACAGTGGTATAGAGTTTGTACAGGTATTATATACGCAGCATCAAAATAATCAGCAGCCACACCTTATTTCTATCAGCATACGGATACTGTAAGCCAAAACTTGTCTTTGATAAACTCGTCAAAAGAAATACACATTATCATCACACAAACACTTGATGGTTAATCGAGAGACGTTATTGATATTTGAGTTGCTCATCAGCACAGCATATATATCACGTAACATGCTGCATGCGCCATCGGCTGACACGCACACCCTCAGATTAACCTTTTCATACTTGGTGTACATATATATATACACCCCGAAAGCTAACAAAGAGCCCACATTACACGTGGATGCGGTAATCAATACTCGGTTCACCGGTGCGTTCCGACAGCTTCAGCAGCGACAGCACCAGGGAAAAGGATAAGTGAGCGCTGGAGTTCGTGAAGCAGGCGACGCGGCTTCCTGGCGAAAAACAGCCTCGAATACTGTACGTATACTGTACGTGGTTCTCGCACAGCTGCTTCGACTCCCTATACTGTACTCATATACAGTATATAGTGTATACTGTACTGTATGGAACTTTTGCTAGAGGCAAACGTGGTACCTTGCAATTCAACCCTAATCAGTTGCCAAACTAGAGTCAAATTGCAAGACACTTTGTGGAATAAAATAAAATATAAATGCAAAAATTAAAAAAAAAAATTGGCAAAGCAGGAAAAATTGTGGGGCAAGGGTGGAATTGCTAGTCAACCTCCCTGCAAATTTGACTGTTTAATTAAGGGACAGTCAAATTGCTGGAGGTCTAATTGCAAGGTACCACCTATACTGAAGGTGAAGTAAATTTTTTTTTACAAGAAATATTGTTCTTGCAAAAAAAAATGTTCTTGGTACTGGCAAGTTTTCTAGATTATGTTTGTCTGGGTCTTTGAATACATGTTTATATATCACTCATTTTCCTCTGGAGGAATTGTCTTTTGTCCATTGCCTCCAACATTGAAAAACCTATATACAGTACATATACTGTATGCAGTATACAGTATATGTATATTTATATACTGTGTTCAAGTCCAGATGGCGCTGCTTCAATGCACCAGACAAACCTCTTTGAGTCAAACTTCAAAGGATCAGCAACAAATTCATGCTGGGAGGTTTTGAGTCAGGGAAACAAGCATTTGTGCTGAAGGAAGGAGGGACAAATCACTAGAAATAATAATTGGAGATATTCTATATTGCCATTAAATGGCATTTTAAATGAGTTGACAGCAAGGAATGCTGGACTTGAAGGGATAACGGGTTTATTTGCCCAAAAATTGATCTTTCACTTTATTTTCAAAACACAGTTTGACATTTTTATTGCTTTACTCTTTCCTGTGTCAATAAAATAATAAACAAAAAGCCAACAAGAAAATTCTAGTTTTATGGAGGTTTTGAGGTGGAGTGTTTTGAGTTTGGGAGATTTTTAATGCATTGTTTCCAAGATAGTTTGATAAATACTTGAAAAAAATTGACATAAAAGGGGCATTGATTTACAGTGGGATGGTTCCAAGGTACAGATAAGGTGTAACTCGATCTAACTTATATTTTCTAAAACCTCGCAGCTAAGATTCTATCCCGATGATAACATGTGTATACCTCGTCTATTGGTTTGCAATTGACCAAAAAGAGCCATTGTTTTCGTTCGAAAATTACAAAATGAATATAGGAAGAAAGCAATACAATGAGATCAAACGAACTTTCTTTTCAGGGTTGATGAAGTTCGTATAAGCATCATGAATAGGACAAAAAAGATAATATACGAAGCCCAATAAAAGAAATGGGTCTCCGTCCTCGAAAAGCCTTACTACAGGGATGAATACCCGCAGGTTTTCCTTTTGTTGATTTTGTTTCATCTTTGAAAAAGACGCACACACCAGAGACAGAAAATAAGAAAGAATATACTGTAAGTAGTAATCCATCAAGAACTTCTTTACGACGTCTTCCAAATTTATTTCGTGACTCATCTTGTTGAATAGCATAATGGAAAGCCGACATCAACTGATAATTTCATTTCTGCAGAAAATATATGAATACTCTTGCATAATACAGAGGGTGTCGGTGATCTAACTGAATAGTTTTTGCTTCTGTTATTTATGTAGTGCCTCATCTAATATACAGTACGGTGCAGTATACTGTAGTGAAAAAGTGTTTTATAGGCTAATGAAGAAACTCATGGCTCAAGCAGATCATGAGGTGGATCATCCACAGGTTTTCCAATGAAATACAGTCAACCCCTGTCTAACGGACTTGATTCGTGCAAGGGACAAGTCTGTTAGACAAAAAGTCCTTTACACAAATTCAATTACATAAAAAATAAAATTTCAATTTTCAACNACATAAAAAATAAAAAATTTCAATTTTCAACACTAATTTTAAACCAAAAGAAGTCTGTTTAGCGGATTTTGTCTGTTGGGCGGGAGGAAAAACTGCTTGCAGAGCTGGTCTGTTCGGCAAAAATCCCTTACACGGGAGGTCTGTTAGGCGGGGGGCCACTGTATACGTATACATATACACATATAGTATACACATACCAAGTACAGTACAGTATTTACGGTACCCTATATATCTAGCCTGCTGCTGAATTAAGTGTCTGAATGATCACCATTTTAATTAAGATATTCAAATTCAATTGCATGACATTCTTCCTTTATCATGACCAACAAAATGGCTATTTTCATAACTACATATAAACCCCCCCCCACTATAAAAGTCAAGTATTTTTGTTGGTCCTTGAAGTCTGTCTTAAAGAGGTTTGGCTTACTCCCACACTCATATAAACACAGTAGCACAGAGCATAATATACAGTGAGTCCCTTCAAACAAAAGACCTACACAACAAAAAAGTTCACATAACAAAATTTTAAATGACGGATGGGCAACTCACAGATCAAAATTGTTTAAAAAAACATAATTTTGTAGCAGCAGTTTTCTGGCCTCGTACTCGAACAAAGTTCATGTAAAAACACATTCTTTCTCTAAATGAATTAGCTGAAACTTTGTTATTCATATAGATGTGATTTGCATAGTGAATCATTTGTACAAAGAAAAAATATTTGCACCAATTATATGTTTGTACTATGAGGTACAGCGTACAGTCAACCCATGTAAAACCATGTCCTGATGAATCACCACCCTTGGTGTTCTCACCGACATTTTGTCCCAAACAAATTGGCCTAATGTTGAAGGAATGGCAAAACCTTGATAGGCTACTAATGACTGCCATCTGCCAAGGTTTTTCTTCCCCCCAAACAGGTCATTTTGTTGAACGTGGAAGACACAAAGGTTTCCATGGGAAGCATTGATGATTTATACGCGGGGAAAACTCAGGGGGGAGGGCAACCTTTTTTCTGAAAAATGAACTCTTTCTCTCCCATGTTTTGGAGGGAAGATGCCTGCCACTGCTGCTAAACTGCCGAAATCAGGCAGCACAGGCATTGGCGGTTCAACAGGGTACGACTGCAGTACAACTGGTGTACTGTACACTAAGGTGCACTCGTCCGGCTGCTTAAAACATATGGTCAGTCATTCATCCCGGATGTCGCGTCGGCTCTGCTACACCGCTCGAATCCCAAGAGCCACCTCCGTTATCACCATCATGGCTTCCGGGGGCCGGCAGCAGTAGCAGCAGCAGCCAGTGAAGAGAGCCGCTGCGGGAGCAGGCCATCAGAAAATCACAGCGACAGCGGCCGACATGATTACCCATGCTAGCCAGCGCGGCCCCCCGTGGAGCTGCTTGGATGGAGCTCCTGGGCTTGGCAATGAACTCCATACTACAGTATATATACAGTATCGCAGCAGGCCGGCGGACATCATGCATACACACACACGAGGATGTACGTACTGTACATGTAACTACGGTATACAGTATATATACTGTAGGATGTAAGATGTGGTTTCTGTGGAGAGAGGACCGCGCGGAAGCCCGGCCGATCCAGCACACCGGTCAACTGTATTGGGATATATAGAGCAAGGATGTCGCGTCAATTTCGAATCGAAGAAGGACAGTACATATTCGCAGATTATGCATGCACGCTCTGTGAAGCTATGTATATTACTGTATATAGGATGATACAGTACAATATACATTACTGTATCTCTCGTCCATCAGCTGTAGATAGGGATGTATGAGCTAGGGTTATGCAACAGACCGGGAGCTGATCTTTTTATACACTATACTGTATTTACCCATTATTTTCGCTATACGTCCTCTGAATCTCTGATGATGCCCTTGCTTTCGATATTTCCTCTTTATTTTTTAGTTATAAAGTATTGGGACTATGATGTATTTGGGTGCCTATTTTACTTGAGAATACTGTACAATATACAGTACTGTACTCAGGTTGCAGAACTGCACATGGACTCTCTCTACAACAATATTTGTCTACAACAATATTCTCTGTACAAAAACTCTTTGCGGGTGCATGGGGGTTATCTCCTCATGTTATGAGGCTTTCAACGACAAAATTATCTTTACAACGAATTTTTCCTGATCCCATGAGTTTCATACTAGAGGGAGTCCACCTACTGTATTCCCATTCGATTATGATATTAAAAAAGAGGGACAGAAAAATCATGAGCGGTACTGCTGGTCTGTACATACTGTATAAAATAGAAATAAAAATCGCCATACTGTCTGACAACGTGTTGTTTGCAACCAATTCGTTTTTCGGGAGGGGGGGGGGGGGGGGGGGGGGGGGGGGGGAAATTTCTTCCTGTTTAACGTGTTGTTTGCAACCAATTCGTTTTTCGGGAGGGGGGGGGGGGGGTGTGGAGGGGGGATATTTCTGTCCGTATGTCCACAATTTTACTTTTATTTCTGTATCTCACATATTTTAAAAAGTAACAAAGCTTTTTTCTGGTCCAAGCCTAATGACTTTGTCCTAAGAATCCTAGCCAGATTTTATTATTTGACAAGATTTGCACAAATAAAAATAAGCTTGACCAAGTTGTGTAGTGGGACCCTGCCTGCATGATAAAAACTACTGTAGTATGATTTAGGATTTAGTTTTCGTGTTACAATTGTGTAATGCTGCTAATGTAAAACAAAAATTGTCTTGAAGGTTGGATACAAAATAAATATAGATACTGTATATAGGTGGCTGCCTCTTAAATACAAATCTTGTGTACAAGAATTTTCTCTGTTTAATGCTTTATTGATCCCATTCTTCCCATGGAATAAGGGTTCCTACATCAAAATTATTTCTACAATGAATTCTTCTCTGGTCCCTTTAATTGTGTGATCGCAGAGTCCACCTGAAAGTAAATTTTTTCAGAGAAAAATATATTTTATAATTCCCACAGAGTACTAAATTTACTCAAGTAAACGTTGGGGGCCATCAAGTAAGGCTCTTGTCTGCTGGTTTCCTTATCATATACTGCAATTTGCTGCATAGTAAAACTCTTCCCAAACTAAGATTTGCAACCCATTTTTAGCAACTAAAAATTACAATATTTTGATTTATAAAAACACATCAGAATTCAAATTTGGGCTAAAATTAAACTCAAATCTGAAACATTTTCTGTTTCAATTAAGAAAACATGAACAAATTTAAAATAACAATTTATATTTAAAATATCAATCACATGATAATGAGGCAGACCTATAAACTTTGAAATTGAAATACCCTGTATGATAGGCACCCTATTTTCTCCGTCTAAATATAGAAAAAAAAATATATACCTTGAGTAAAATGGTACTGTATGTATTATAATGTAATTTATTAATTTGACAATAATACCGCGTATAGCCAAACATACGGAGTATGGTTTTATCCTCATGAGAGCGACATCCGGCCAATTTTGTCTTCAGCTGTCAAACATTGCCAACGTAAACGACCGGAAGCATCGGTGGATCTGCTCTCGTTTGTGGGACTGGATTTGGGGCAATGGAAGGGACGCAATCACGCATTTCGCCGTCAGCCACTGATCTGTTCGCGTCATTTTTGCGCATAGTTAGGTTGGTGCAAGCCATGCGTTGTTGACGTGAAGTGCGAATTAATGTGGCATGCCTTTAAGGGTTCTGTATTGTGGAATTTCGTACTTCGTTTTGACTGAATTATGGAATGTGTGACATCCTCTTGGAGTGATAGTAAACCCGAACTCTGCTGCATGATCTTCCGGCCGGTTGATGCCGTGTCCTGGAGAAAGCAGAAAACGAATGTGTGGTTATTAATTAGTCGTTTATATTTATTTTTTCGCGCCCGCGTATTTTGTGAGATATTCGTTGGCTCCTGAGTAACTGAATTTTTTTTACTGTTGATCCATTTACTTCGGAAGCGTGTTACAATACGTATAACCGTTGCAAATTTTTGAAATATTCTCGTATGACACGATGGGCATAAATGTATGATAGGTTGAGCCTTGCGGCGGTTCCTTAGATGTTTTAATTTTAAGTGAAAGCAATTAAAACAGTAAAACAAATTAAAGTTGTCCACGAGATTTCCTGTGAGATGGAGCTGAGGAACATCTTCACGAAGACCGTGGACTTCAAATTGAGTGTAATTGTGTCTAATAAAGTTCATACCGTGGTCTATGAATGACGAAGCTGTTCTTTCGGATTTTATGCAATAACTGGTTCGGCAATTTTTTTTGGGTTTTTTCTTCTCGAAGTGTGAACTACATGCGGAAGTCCGTACCTCCGGGATTTCCTGATGGAATTGTGTTAAACTCGTAAGTTTTCCTTGGCACTTGTACAAGTGCCTTTACATTTGTGGGATAGAAGTGTCTGCTCAATCACATTGTTGTTGACCTGACCGTCATTAATCAATGAACTGTTATGCTTTCTCAAACCCGCTGCGTTCTTAGGTTATCGTTGTGTGCTAACATACCGTGGGCACATTAGTCTGTTTTGAAACTAACGCGAAAGTTGTGAACTCAAGGATGCCGGCATTTCGTCCGAGCATTGTAACACGACACTGCGCCAGAAGTGCCGAAATACTTGCGGTGCTTTGGACTATAATCATGAAGCACACTTGACGTTAATTCTTCCCTCTCGTCCATCTCATCCCGACAAGAATGAACCGTGGTGCTATCCTTATTACCGTTGTCTTCGTGGTGGTTTGCTCTGCCCAACTATGTGGCGGAACCAACCGGTGTATTCCGTTCAGCAGACAGTATCCTGGGAAACCTCTTGGTTATCTAATACGTGTGGATGTTGACACCAGTTTAGTATCCAGTGACATTGTCCTCTCCAACCTCTATGGTCCGAAGAACAGCCCATGTCTGTCTATCCATACGAAACCCATCCGAGTGAAAAAGGCTTGTGATTTCACTTCAGAAGTGGTGATACCGATGCCCGATATTCAGCAGAAAGAAGTTGGAACTCATTCACCTTTGGAGGATCATTTTGTTTGCTCCAAAAATGCTAGCAATCATCAATGGGTTCACATGGGTCTCGAAGCAAAACCCATTTTTTCCGAGTTGGAAATTGGAACCAGAAAGCATTTGCGGTCGAGAAGAAGTGCTCCTGCGGATGTTGAAATTATTGGCTTGAGAGTTGAGGGCGGCGGTGGAAGAAACCCCTACAATAATGATGACGGTATTGCTACAATAATGGCGAATACGGATGCTGTGTTGCGGATTTTTGGGAAAAACCTTGGATCGAGTGAGTGAGTGGAACATTTGTTTTTTCTTCCAATTCCTCTTCCGCCTGTTTAATTCACATTCAAGTGTTGGCTTGAAATGGGGTTGATTATCTTGAAAATAATGGCGCTTTTTCTTTGTGATCTGAGTTCCTGAACCCATAGCTTCTGCAACTGAAGCGAGAAGGCTAATATAACAGGTATTTGCACAGAAGTGTAATACTGTATGTGTAATACAGTACAGTACAGTATCAAGTGTACAGTATAATGATCCTAAATGTTTTTCTAAAGGCCTGCACCCAAATTCCAAAAGACGGTTGATGATTAATCGAGAATTCAGCATTTACTCCCTTTTAAAAATGCGCGCGTGTGGTATGTGAGACTCCATTTCTTTTAAGATAAGCCCAGCTGGTAACTGATACTTTTTACTGTCCTGTAATTGCAAGTTGAATGTTTTATTTTAGTCTATTCGTTAGAATATTTTGGTGATCTGGAACAGTTCAGTTATTTTTGTAAATGCAACTTCCCAAACTTGATTTTGGATTAATTTACTTCCGGACCCCCTACAGCTAGTGTCAGGGAAGTCTCATACCGTGAAGTTGACCGTAAGAAATTTTGTGGGTTTCCTGAGAAAAATTGAACAATCCGTGTATTTTATTGACGACTACAATTAATTGTCGACTACAATTAACGTTTTAGCTCATGAAATGTTAATTAGTATCATCCGCGTGATCGAACAGTATCTCGTCGTCCTCGTGTTCATTCTGTTGAAATTGAAGATACTTACTCCTGACTGAAGATTCTTCAATCAATGCGTTCATTGCAGGATTGAAATTCAAGTTTGCCTACGGCTTGCCTTCGGAGTTCAATGATACCATGTGCGATGACTCCGGTAGTACGCGCGTATTCACGACAGACGCAGGAATAAACTCGAACGCTGCGTTTTTACCTGTGAAATTACCAGACATGTCGAGCTCAGATGGTAGATTTTACCTGTGTCTGAAGCAAGAAATTGCGGGGGTTGGCATAGCTTGGAATGTCTTGGGTTCGGATCCAGCGCTTCTCATTCGCACAGACTCCAGGTTGCTTCCGGTCTGGCTCCAGTTGCTCATCATCGCCATTCTATTGATCCTGTCTGGACTGTTTTCTGGTTTGAATCTCGGTCTCATGGCGCTGGACAGAACTGACTTGAAGATAATCTGCAACACTGGGTCTGAAAAAGAGAAGCGTTATGCCCAAAAGGTGAGATATATTTTGAATATCCAAGTTTGTTGTTGTGTGCATTCTGAGGAGGTACTTCGTATTCCAAAATTTTTATTATATAATTTTTTTTCAAGAAGACCAGCACATGATTTGGAGTTTCGAAGTAAGTCTGGTTCAAAATAGAGAGTTCATGTGAAAATGTCTCTCTGGACTCCCATAAAAGAATAATTGAGAATACTGTTGTCTTCAATAGGTATGTTGTCAGAAGCAATGGAAGTACAATACTGTACAAATTCCCCTTAACTTTCTGAACGGAAATATTTCATAAACTTGTCTGTGTGTTGTGCTCATGAAAAGCCAATATAACCTAGGAAAATGTCTATTCTGCTCTGATATGTAATCTGTACAAAATCAAGTTTGTTGGAATGTGTGAAATACAGTTTGTTTTGAATCAACATAATTTTGATTAAAAAAAATGAAAAAAATTTAAAAAAATATTTGGTGTATGCAAAGAGAATTTTCGATTTCCTCCCTTAAATTTAAAATTGTTCTCCTAGCCCAATGTATTTTCATCGTTATTTACGATTGGGCCTATCACCAACATTACTTTTCTTCTCATTTGAAAGACAACTTGATAAGAAGTCAATCTTTATGCTAGAGATTTTTCGCGCATCACGAATGGAAATTTTCCTATTCGATTTGAATAAAGATTAATAGTACAGTGAGTACCCGCAGAAGGGAAAGATCAAAACGAAAAATCCTCGAAGGAAGTTCTTTTTGGAAAAAACTTGACTCGCATAACAAAATTGTTTCATCTAAAGAAATTTTTGGCTGGAAAACACTCTACTCCAAGTTTAGGGCATAATTTTCCACAAAATTTGAGGAAAGTTGTCAAAATTTTATATTTTTGCATCGCCTTTTTTGTAAAATTTTAAAATTCAAAAAGATGATACAGTAGCACAGACTTGTCACTAATCAAATTTTAATCACGAAGTCATGATGAAATCTAAGAATAATATGCTGTTATTGAGGTTTATTATAAGCTTTTGGTGAAATCTGGAACAAATTATTCAAGTAGAAATGTAACCTTACGAAAAATCGCGTTTCGCGTTACAAAAATTCCACGTACGGAAACGCATCCAGGAACAGGTTGCTTTCGTTATTTGGGGGACTCACTGGGAATTTCTCAAAATTCTCAGAGGCAATTTTTTTTTCGTTTGGATATAGAATTTTCTTTTTACATTTTTTGATACGGGATAGATTAGGATGCCTGAAACTATTTTCGTTCCTTCATTCATTGCGATCTGATTTAGGTGATGCCGGTGCGGCAGCTGGGCAACTATCTATTGTGCTCGCTGCTCTTGGGAAATGTGTTGGTGAATTCGTCGCTGACGTTGTTGCTGGACGACTTGACGTCTGGGCTCGTTGCCGTTGTTGGATCGACGATGGGGATTGTGATTTTCGGCGAGATTATCCCGCAAGCAATCTGCTCGCGACACGGACTGGCCATAGGCGCGTGGACGGTGTGGATTACGAAAATTTTCATGGCGGCTACCTTCCCTCTTTCGTATCCCATTTCCAAGATCCTCGATAAATTTCTGGGCGAAGAGATTGGAAATTACTACAATCGCGAGCGTCTCAAAGAACTTGTCAAGGTGAGCAACTCGTTCATTATTTTTTCCTTTTTGCTGCCTGAAAGGAACACCAATAGGTGGAGTTGCTTTTTTTGCCTCGTTTTCGTTTCGGTATTTATGCAAGTATAAATTTCACTCTTGGTGCGACTCGGAAGTCGATTGATTCTAACCAGATCAGAGTGGAAGTCCTCATTACTGGTCCGAGCGAAAAAAAAAAAAGGGTGACCGTTCGAATTATTAGTTTATTTTAGCACCATTCCTCGTACATTCTCTTTGGAAATCTTTTCAACTCCGATCAAAATTTACAAACATGATCTGCGCTTTGAATCCAGGAAGAAAAACATTTAAATTCAAAAGGAACACTTGAGAAAGCATTTCGGGAAATTTTCTCAATTTTTTTTAATCGTGACGTTGCGGGGATACTCTTGGAACTCTCTTGATGGTCTAGAACGGAAATCGATGGGACCGGAAAAATAAATCCGCTGTAAAGAGAATTTTTTTTGGAGAGAACCATATAGGAAGGAAATAAAATTTGAAATTAAAAGGAAATCCTCGTAGACCAGGTCGTCGTGGAAAGAGAGTCTACCTGTATTATTTAAGAGGTTAATTTTCCCCGAAAACAATTGAACCCGCATATTCATACATTTTATCTTCGCAATTTAATGTGATTGAGGACGTACAATACTGTGATGTCCTCAGAAAATTGTTGCACTTCTCGAAATACTGGATCTGGAGTTCCTTGTTGGAAAAAACTTCGGCATGCCGACAATTCGGCGCCAGATTAATTTTAAACGACAGTCTTTCCCGAAAATTTCTAACAGCTTCTGCTGGAGCCTGGGAACCAAAATTCAGCATGATTTTCATCACTCGCATTTGAATTGTGAACCTGAGCAGATCTCCGAGCAGAGAAGCTTTTTTGTCTCGCAAATCTCCAAATTCCGAAATTCTTACCAAGTGTTTGTCATCAAAAGAAATACAACTCGTTTAAACTAGGACTTTGTCCCAGCTGATTTACTGAGCTCATATTCATAAATTCAACACTTCACTCTCGCAAAAAGAACTTGAATTCTTATCTTCAATTCAATCACTTCTTTTGCTAATTTTTCATCCATTCTATATCACATTTTCAGCTTTGTGAGTTTGTCTGTTTGACATATCTTTTTCTCACAAAAGTGGTAGCAGAGCGTGGTTACTTTACGCCGCCTCTCTTCTAAATCAATCAAACTGAAAAAAAAATAAAACTCTCTCCTTGACTCTCACTGCGTCTATCGTTGTCTTCTCTTTTCCAAAAAACTATCTTCAAAACCCAAGTCCTAACGCAAAAAGTGTTTTGAAAAGTGTACAAGTGATTTAAGATTTAGCCTCAATTGGGCATTTCCCACTGGTGATAAGCCAAAAACCCTACCCAAAACCAAAACTATCAACAAAAGGAGAACAACAAAAGGTGACGTAAGGAAAAGAGGAAAAAAGCCCTCAAAACATCCAAGACAAATCGAAACAAAGAAAAACCAACCAAAAAATGCCACCAAAGGCAATGAAGAAGAAACTGGGAAGGCCTCCCAAAAAGATCATTATTGATCAAAACATTGAGATTGAAACTCAAAGCCAAAACAAAATACATGAAGAAGTTGAAACTCCTACCAAACAAGAAACACCAGGAAGAAGCTTGGCTACCTTAACCACTTCAACATGCACTTCTGATTCATCCTTAAACACACCGCTGTCATCAACTGAAATCATATCCAAAAACAAAACCAACAATGCTTTTCGTGATTTAACATCGAAACTCTTCCGAATTGTACAACTAATTCGTAAAGGAGATTGGGCAAACGCGGAACCTAAACAAGACCTTAAACTAAAGACCTTTGAAGAAATCATCGAAAACTTTTCTGAAGCTTACGCATTCCTCTCTATGACGCAACTTGACTTTCTTGATCAAGAAGATACGAATGAAATCATGGCTTTAAAAAAGGAAATAACTAACCTTGCTTCGCATACTCCGCAATCTTTGTCAAAAGAGTGGAATACTCTCAGGCCAGCGCAAAAAACTATACTCGATATCAATTTTCCGGAGCCCCCAGCCGTAATGGTTAACGCTCCTAAATCTGTTTCACTGAGTGAAAGCTTTGACGATGATGACGAAGATTCAGACTCAGACACTGAAGAAGGATTTGCTGTAGAAGCAGAGATTAAGACGTATGGTAAAGGACAGTCAATCTTAAAGGGAAAAACTCCTGTACAGTACATACAAGACTATCTGAGAATTGAAATGAAGACGTTTCGTAAATTCAAACCTGAACAAGATTTGGATCAAGATTTTGAACCAAGAAGATACGAATGAAATCATGGCTTTGAAAAAGGAAATAACTAACCTTGCTTCGCATACACCGCAATCGTTGTCAAAAGAATGGAATACTCTCAGGCCAGCGAAGAAAACTATACTCGATATTAATTTTCCGGAACCGCCCGCCGTAACGGTTAATGCCCCTAAATCTGTTTCACTAAGTGAAAGTTTTGACGATGATGATGAAGATTCAGACTCAGACACGGAAGAAGGATTTGCTGTAGAAGCAGAGATTAAAACATACGGTAAAGGACAGTCAATCTTAAAGGGAAAAACTCCTGTTCAGTACATACAAGACTATTTAAGAATTGAAATGAAGACGTTTCGTAAATTTAAACCTGAACAAGATTTGGATCAAGATTTTGATCGCGTTTGGTCTTATTACAAACCAATACATAAAGCACCGATCTACGAACTAACTCCTGAACAAAGAATCAAATTATACCTAATGCATTTTGATGAAGACGCACTGCAAATGCTTAGGGGGTTGGACAGAAAAACTGAACTGTCTGATTATTTGGATCTGGTGAGGAAAACGTTCTATGCCTTTGGGAAAGTCGAACAAGTGGTTCAAAGATTNTTACTCGCAATTGGAAAATCACAAATGCTTAGGGGGTTGGACAGAAAAACTGAACTGTCTGATTATTTGGATCTGGTGAGGAAAACGTTCTATGCCTTTGGGAAAGTCGAACAAGTGGTTCAAAGATTTTACTCGCAATTGGAAAATCTGCCAAATCCAGATGGATCCTATTCCGGGGGGGCAGTATACATGAATGATGTAATTGACTTAATAGCCAAACTTACGAACATGAAAGAAAACATCCACTCAATTCACAATCGTATTTGGACTTTGGTCAAGAACAATTTGAAAAGGGGAAAACTATATGAAATCTTGAAAACATCCATCAAGAAAAAGAACAAACTCGTGTGGAAACAGAATCCCGAACAAATGTACAGATGGTATTGGAAGAAACTTAATAACAACGCATCTGTTGATGAAGAGACTCCTCAATCAAATATTGGGATATATAAAACTTCCATAGAACCCAAAAATGCAGTACCTAACAAAACAGTTAAAACTACTCCAAATGTTCAGGTGAAGCCATCATCGGCCCCTTTGGCTCCGAAAATAGTGAAAACTGAAGCTACAGCGCAAATATGTGAAAAAATGGAAGTCGACGCTGAACCTGAAGTCAAAAAGGTCAAACAAGAAAGAAATGAAACAGGAAATTCTGGACAGTACAATACATACAATCAAAATATGCAAAACAATCAAGGACAGTTCAGAAATTACAACCAAAATGGACAAAACCATAACAGCTATCAATGGACCGCGCCAAACTACAGGCAAAACCGATTTCAACAAATGACTTTCACAAAGAAGTGTCCATTTTGCGGACAAGAACACTACCCGAATCAGTGCCATCAAAATGTAGAGTTACGGGAAAAGAATGCTAAAGCTTACAGCCTTTGTCTGAATTGTTTACGTCCTGGACATGGAGTCAAAGATTGTCGAAATTTTAAACGCTGTCGAAACTGTGGCGGTAAACATCATACGAGCCTCTGCCGAAAACCAACTCAAACGAATGGGAGTCAAGAAAATAATCAAAACCAAGCAAATAGTGCAGATTCCCAACAACCAAGCGCTGAAATTCTCAACATTGTCAAGAACCTCCAAACCGATGTAGCAGAAATGAAAAAGGTACAGGTTGTTCAAGCACAGTCAGTTCCCGTTCAAAATACCGCGTGACTAGAGCGAGTTAACATAAAGATCTCGTTAAAAACCCCATCAAGCTCTTTCATGGAAACAACACAACTCATAGAAGCAAAAACCGAAAAGGAATTGTACGCATTACTGGATTCTGGAGCGCAGCTCAATCTTATAACTGAAGAGTGTGTTAATAGACTCTTGTTGAAACCTGAAAGACACAAAACTGGGTTCAAAATAACTGGGGTGAACGAGAATGATCCTGAAGATTTGACGTCAACGTCCTATGTAGATATATGCCTCAAGCCAAGAAAAACTATAGGAATAGACCAAATGTTCAAAATTAAAGCGATGATAGTGCCTTTGGACAAACCCTGGGCAAGCACCAACCCGCAAGTTATCCCATGGATCAAAGAATATCAACATCAACTTGCTGACCCGAGAATAGTACATTCCAAACAGGTTCCCTTTGACCTAATACTGGGGGGCAAAGATCTCATACCAATTTTCACATTTGACAGAAAACCGATCATTGCAACGAATCAATTTCAACTCTTACACTCAAATGTAGGACTCATCCCTCGTGGTAGTTGGGATAGCAAAGGAAACGAAACTCAATATACTAACAGAGCAACTGTATTTAATGTCAGAGTGAATGAAAATAGTGCACTGGATTGCGAGCTTAATCAAGAAATTACCAAAAGTCTGAGATTGGATCGAATTGAAATATTTGGAAATACTGATCAAAATAACTGGGGTTAACGAGAATGACCCTGAAGATTTGACGTCAACGTCCTATGTAGATATATGCCTCAAACCAAGAAAAACCATAGGAATAGACCAAATGTTCAAAGTTAAAGCTATGGTAGTGCCTTTGAACAAACCCTGGGCAAGCACCAACCCGCAAGTTATCCCATGGATCAAAGAATATCAACATCAACTTGCTGACCCGAGAATAGTACATTCCAAACAGGTTCCCTTTGACCTAATACTGGGGGGCAAAGATCTCATACCAATTTTCACAT